GGGTAACTCATACAGTAAATGGGGTAACTCATACAGTAAATGGGGTAACTCATACAGTAACAAGGGTAACTCATACAGTAACTTGGGTAACGTATACAGTAACTGGGGTAACTTATACAGTAACTGGGGTAACTTATACAGTTACTGGGGTAACTTATACAGTAACTGGGGTAACTTATACAGTAAATGGGGTAACTCATACAGTAACTGGGGTAACGTATACAGTAACTGGGGTAACATATAGAGTAAATGGGGTAACTTATACAGTAACTTGGGTAACTCATACAGTAACTGGGGTAACTTATACAGTAACTGGAGTAGCTTATACAGTAACGGGGGTAACGTATACAGTAACTGGGGTAACTCAAACAGTAACTGGGGTAACTTATACAGGAACTGGGGTAACTCATACAGTAAATCGGGTAACTTATACAGTAAATGGGGTAACTTATACAGTAAATGGGTAACTTAAGTAACTGGGGTAACTTATACAGGAACTGGGGTAACTTATACAGTAACTTGGGTAGCTTATACAGTAACTGGGGTAACTCTTACAGTAAATGGGTAACTTATACAGTACCTGGGGTAACTTATACAGTAACTTGTGTAACTTATACAGTAACTGGGGTGACTTATACAGTAAATGGGTAACTTAAGTAACTGGGGTAACTTATACAGGAACTGGGGTAACTCATACAGTAAATCGGGTAACTTATACAGTAAATGGGGTAACTTATACAGTAACTTGTGTAACTCATACAGTAACTGGGGTTACTTATACAGTAACTGGGGTAACTTATAGAGTAACTGGGGTAGCTTATACAGGAACTGGGGTAACTCATACAGTAATTGGGGTAACTTATACAGTAACTGTGTTATCTCATACAGAAAATGGGGTAACTTATACAGTACCTGGGGTAACTTATACAGTAACTGTGTTATCTCATACAGAAAATGGGGTAACTTATACAGTACCTGGGGTAACTTATACAGTAACTTGTGTAACTTATACAGTAACTGGGGGGTAACGTATACAGTAACTGGGGTAACATATACAGTAAATGGGGTAACTTATACAGTAAATGGGGTAACTCATACAGTAAATGGGTAACTTATACAGTACCTGGGGTAACTTATACAGTAACTAGGGTAGCTTATACAGTAACTGGGGTTACTTATACAGTAACTGGGGTAACGTATACAGTAGCTGGGGTAACATATAGAGTAAATGGGGGAACTTATACAGTAACTTGGGTAACTCATACAGTAACTGGGCTAACTTATACAGTAACTGGGGTAGCCTATACAGTAACTGGGGTAACTTATAAAGTAACTGGGGTAGCTTATACAGGAACTGGGGTAACTCATACAGTAACTGTGGTAACTCATACAGTAACTGGTGTAACTCATACAGTAACTGGGGTTACTTATACAGTAACTGGGGTAACGTATACAGGAACTGGGGTAACTTATACAGTAACTAGGGTAGCTTATACAGTAACTGGGGTTACTTATACAGTAACTGGGGTAACGTATACAGGAACTGGGGTAACTTATACAGTAAAGGGGTAACTTATACAGTAACTGGCGTAACTTATACAGTAAATGGGGTAACTTATACAGTAAATGGGGTAACTCATACAGTAGCTGGGGTAACGTATACAGTAACTGGGGTAACTTATAGAGTAACTGGGGTAGCTTATACAGGAACTGGGGTAACTTATCCAGTAACTGGTGTAACTTATACAGTAACTGGTGTAACTTATTCAGTAACTGGGGTAACTCATACAATAAATGGGGTAACTTATACAGTAACTTGGGTAGCTTATACAGTAACTGGGGTTACTTATACAGTAACTGGGGTAACTCATACAGTAAATGGGGTAACTTATACAGTAACTGGGGTAAGCGAAAGATAGAAAACAAAATATCAGAAAATATCTGTTCCCTGCTGAATTTCATAAAATAATAGTTAATTCTCTATAATAGTTAATTCTCTATAATAGTTAATTCTCTATAATAGTTAATTCTCTATAATAGTTAATTCTCTATTATCATTTTCTCTACAATCATGAAGATTTGACACTTGTTTTTGGACCAGAATGTAATTTTGAAATCTATGCAACAAGATCAAACAATTTTGGCTCCTAAATATAATTATCTTTAAGTCTGATTTTTCTGAACATTAAGTCAGATTTATGTTATTATTGTGAGTATATGATTGACAGGTTCCAAGTCGATGCCCTTGAGATGTTCTGACAAGCTATTGTACCCTATGTATGAGCACCGGCCCTGTTACTGTAAAACCCTGGAGCGTATCATCATAGGTGACTGGTCTCAGTGTATCCTCGACCCGCCCAACAGACACGACCTTATGATGACCCACTTATCAGGTCATCGGGGCATCCGATTGGCTCGTAATTACACCAATCTTGAAATGGGAAATAGTTGTGGGGCTGGACGGAAATTCAAGGTGGTAGCTTGTCGGAATGCAATGAATGCTATGGAATCGGCTGACAAGTGTACGCTCAACGGCAAAGGTGGGTTACCATTTAATCACGTCTTGTACAAAACAATGTATTGACATATAGGTTGCCTTAAACCAATCCAACATTTCAAATTTGCATTTCTAACTTTATAATGATGTTAATCTACTGGTATTACATTTATGTACTCAATGGAACTTTCTTGACTGAGGGTAAGTCACTTACATGAAGGGCTTCTGTTTCTAACACTATACAGACATGAAGGAGAAAGCATGCAGGATCCCTTGTCCAGTGGACTGTAAAATGTCTCCATGGAGCACATGGAGTCTTTGTCCCACAAAGTGTGGTGCTGGTGTCCAACAACGCTTCCGAAACAATATGAAGCTGCCATCCCCCGGAGGACGTCGGTGCCCCTCCCTCGACAGCACATCAGATGAGGTATGAATTAGTGATCTCGTTAACATGAGTCGTCTATAAATAGTTTTCTTGTCAACTTCAATTCTATTATACTTTTAGATATTTGAATACAAATACTAGACGAAGCAACAACATCTAGAGTCATTAGTTTATAAACTATTGTGTGAACCTTCCTTGATAGTTCCTCCTATAATCCACAAACGTCCAACAATAACTAGGATGTTGATTATCTCCTTCTTTTAAGGACCCAACTTTTTTATAAGCATGTATTCAAATAATAATTTCTGAGATTTTGTGTGTGTTAACCCCGTATGTATGTTTGAAGGAGATCCAGACTCGCCTGTGCCATCCTGAGTGTGTCCAGTACACTTGGAAGTCCTCGGACTGGGACATGTGTATGCCACCGGTCGGGGAAAGGTGTGGAGATGGACAACAGAACAGACATGTCAGGTACAGTACAATCTTCTCTCCCCAATTACTACTTTGACCTATACTCAATTTTCTCTAACTTATACTACATTAACCTTTACAAAATATTCGTGCCCCTGATACTACTTTACCTTTACAATCTTCTCACCCCTAGTACTACTTCACCTTTACAATCTTCTCACCCCTAATGCTATTTTGTTTTTACAGTCTCCTCACCCCTAATACCAATTTACCCTTACAATCTCCTCACCCCTAATACTACTTCACCTTTACAATCTCCTCACCCCTAATACCACTTTACCTTTACAATCTTCTCACCCCTTATACTATTTTACCTTAACAATCTCCTCACCCCTAATACCACTTTACCATTACTGTCTCCTCACCCCTAATACCACTTTACCTTTACTGTCTCCTCACCCCTAATACCACTTTACCTTTACAATCTCCTTATCTCTTATACCACTTTACCGTTACTGTCTCCTCACCCCTAATACCACTTTACCTTTACAATCTCCTCACCCCTAATACCACTATACCTTTACAATCTCCTCACCCCTTGTACTACATTATTTGTCACAAAATTTTCTCACCTCCAATGTTACATAGTGTACATGCGTTATGTATGATGGTTTGTCCTAATGTCATGTAACCTCATTTTCTGTTGACATTTCAGTTGTAATGCTGTAAATATCAATGGTGTTATGACGGAGCGCGTAGATGATGAAAACTGTGCTGGCCTTCCAGAACCACGAAGTACCCGCTCTTGTTACCTCCCCTGTCCTGGCGACTGTGTGCTTAGCGAATGGGTGGAATGGTCACAATGCCAACAGGTATATTTACATGTATAAATTGTCAAACAGAACTCAATCTGTGCTACAGTTAAGTTTCATTATCCAGATTGTCACACTATTCCTCCATTACCTGAACATCTACAGATGGTTTTGGTTACATAATTCCCCTTTTCTATTCAAAAGTTGCACAGGTAATGCAGCTATAACACAATAAATTCAAAATATCCGCAGCAGGAAACAAGGGCATCTGGATTAAAGAGCAAACCTATCACACACTAAGCTTCTAGATAATGTGTTGTTAGTAACTATCTATTATGTCCTTTAGAAATCAAAGTGTATGTCTGTCCATCTCTCTGTCTGTCGATCTGTCCACACCTCTTTTCATTACCAACAATGTACAGAAACCTACAGTTAATGAAGAATTCAAGGGCCACCTTGAACAAATAGAAACTATATTGTTTATGGTGGTTTATTGTTTATTTTCATTGCAGCCTCATATTCCATTTACCTTATGACTTCTTTTCTAACTTTAGCCATGCAACCATAACCAAATGCAGTCACGTGACAGAAGGATTATGCGTGAATCAGCAACGTACTCAGAGTACCAGAGCACCTGTCCCCCTCTGAGAGAGTCACGGCCCTGTATAAGGGGAGAGAACTGTATTGAGTACTCGTGGGAGCTAGCCCAGTGGACAACCTGTCTGGTCAACAATGGTCTGGATGACTGTGGTGTCGGACATAAAGAACGCTATGCCATCTGTAAAAATCACTTTGGACGTGTCGTGGATAACAAGCTCTGTAAAGAAGTATGTTGATTAGTTTGTTTGTTAATAGTGACAATGAAGGAAGTATTGAACTCGGGAATAACAGGTTGCCAGTCTAAAGTTGATAGAAAATGTACAGAATTTTGTCAAAGAAAGACGTTGTACAGAGAGGTGTAAAACACTGGTATTGAAATTGATAAAAACTATTTTGTCCATAGCTAATTTTAACAAACTTCAAAGAGTACGATTCGCTTCAAGCTTTATAGAGTTAGTTTCATTTCCTGCTTTATAAAATAGGTTTCACTTCCAATTTTATAGATTCTAAGTGCATGGTTCACTGTTTGAGAAGTTTTACAGTGTAAAATAACCTCTCAAGGTGTGACGTCACACTGTCTTTTATTTACTTTTCAACTTTTCAACTGTTGGGAGTTCAAATGTTAAGATCATCATCAAAATTAAAATAGTTTGACTAAATATGGCACCTGAAACTATTTAATTTCACATAAGTTTGAAAAATAAACCTGAAGTATTTAAAACTGTGTTTCTAAAGGTACACGGCCAGGTGACGGAGCCTCTAGTGGTGTCGTGTGAGATACCTTGTGATGTGGACTGCCTCCTCTCTGACTGGTCACCATGGAGCTCATGTAGTAAAGGTTGTGGACTTGGTAAGTAGTGCATTTAGTAATTACGTTTGTTCATGGATGATATAAATAAGGATTGGGACAGTTTTATATTATGCTGTTTCATTGTTTATTGACATACATATATTGACTATGGGCTGCTGATGTGTAGCAAAGCTGCTTTGAACCTAGTGCCTTCAGTTATCTGAGCCATTGTCATAGAACAAAGCTATATTGCATTAGATACAAAGTTTCAATATGAGATTAAAGTTTTGTCTATTTATGTTTTCCTTGTAACCATGGTAACAGGAACCAAGAAGAGAAGCCGTTCCATCGTCCAACAGTATATTGGTAATGGACGCCCTTGTCCAACGATCCTCTCTCAGGCAATGCACTGCTTCTCCCAGGGCTGTTACAAATGGCAGATCTCCAGATGGTCTGAATGTTCAACACAGGTAAATATTTAATCTGTGATCTCAAATGGATATTTAAATATTCAAGCCTTCCCTATTTTTCTGTGAAAAATGTATAAAAGGACATACAAAAGAAGTGTAAACGTGTGCTGGCTGAAAAATCCTAAAAAGTAGGAAGGATCATATATATAAATATAGGCAACATTTGCTTGCTTTGTTTGTTTGTCGAAAACCCTTAAAAAGCCAAAAGTTTAAAAGAATTGATACACAGAAACGATATTTAATAATAAAATTTGTACATGTGGAACTCATTGACAATGCGATTAATGTTAGGCTTATTTTTCTCTGTCACAGCTTGGTGTGTGTGGCCACGGAGTGCAGGCAAGGAATATCACGTGTCGTAGTGACAACGGACTGGTAGTAGACTCCTCTCATTGTCCACGTGACCTCACCACCATCGTGTCACAGGTAAGTTACTGTCTGTTCAGCCTTAGTTAGCTCACCTGCCCCAAATGGCCAAGTGAGCTGATGGCATGGCAGTGTTGGCCATCTGTCCAGTATCAACTTATTTTACTTAAATCAACTTCTCGATAACAAAGAAGCCTAGGGTGATGATATTTGGCCAGTAGCAGGCTGGGATAGAGGGCTACCAAGTTTGATCAAGAGAATTACTATTACAAATGTACCTATATTCAAGGTTACAGGAGTTAAATGTGTTCAAAAAAACATTTAAACAACTTTTGATGAATAAACGAATGGTCCATGGTGATAATGTTTGGCATGAAGCATGCTGGGATAATAGGGGATTGTGATTAAATAAATGACCTTAACCTGTATTCAAGGTCACAGGTGTCAAAGATGTTAAAACCTTTGAACGACTCCTTTCAAATAATCTAAAGGCCCCGGGTGACGATTTTCAACCAGTAACATGATCAGATAAAAAATTTAATCAAATGACTGACCTTCACCAATAATTAAGGCCACATGGGTCAAATGTGTTGAACACATTCAAACAACTACTTCTGAATAATCAAAAGGCCTAGGATGGTGTTGGTTGGCAGTAGCATCTCAGATGAATGACCTCTTTTCACTAAATGAAAGGTCTAGGGTGATGAGATTTGACAAGTAGCATGCTGGAATAAAGGGCGACTTAATGACCTAGCTAGGCCTTTAAGGTCATAGCATCTAATGTTTTAAAATTGTAACAATTAATAACTTACAGTCATAGGTAACAATATCTTGCCATTTTGGCCTCTTGTTAATCATATAGTGAATGATTCAGTCTTTTGGCTTTTGTCTCTGATTTAAATTAAGAAATAGCTCATGTGAAAATCCATTTTATTTCACCTTTTTAGAAAACGAGGCCATGTCATGTTCCTTGTCCAGGAGAGTGTGTGGTCACTGAGTGGTCAAACTGGAGCCAGTGCTATATTCCCTGTCACGACTTTGAAATGGGTGAGTTGATGCATTCTGGGAATTAAAATCATTTAACACATTTGCTGATTAATATCAAAATTATTCTCCAGTTGTTGTCAACATTACACATCTAAAGCTTATATCAAATTGTACCTTTGCCCCAACTACACACGGCAACTTTTTCTCAATTTCACATTTTCACATTTTTTGTTCAATAATTCATTCCAATTTTTTTCTTTCTAACCAAGTTAGAAAGAAAAAAAAGTTTCCATTTTTATGTTCTTTTAAAGTTATTTTCCCTGAAACCAGAAAGTGAAAATTTTGATTACCTGTTGATAACTTGTTGTCAGATAGTTAAATACCATCTCCATAGCTTTGAATGTCAAAGAGAAGAACAATCCTTAAATGCCTGAAGAGATATGCAATCTTTGATAAATGTCTGGAGTAGTTTTTTTTCATCAAAGCAATGAGTTTCTTTTGAATTGCAGTAATTTTAATGGCTACAGGGAATATATACTTTTATAAGGAGATACAATTTTTTAGTTCACCTGGTACACTGATGCCATTGGGAACAAAAAGTATACAAATAAACGAGCGTAACCCTCCTGGGGGCTGAGGGGCCTAGACAAATTGGTCAAATAGCCTAATTTACTAAAAACGACATCTCTTTAAAAATAATTGGCAGATTTCAACATGATTTTCAAAATACCAAGGTGAGTAGTTGAATGCCTTTCAGCTGCCCCTCTCTTTAAAATAAACCCCGGAGAAATAATGTAAACGAATTAGTAATCTTTATGTACCGCCTTCTTCAAAAAGGAAAAAAACATTTTCAGCTCATCTAAGCATTACCTTCTCTGGAATATAAAGACTGGCATTATGTGAAAGTCAACCTTCCCTAGAGAACAGCTGGCTTTATGTACATGTTCATGTTTTTATTATTAAGAGACAATTTTATTATCTTATTTCCACGACTGTCTCTATAGTAACAGCTAATTTGAGATTTCGACCTTATAATTAAGTTCCTGAACAATGCTTTACAGTTAGGTATTTTTATCTTGCTAGAAGATGCTGTCTCAAGAGAGCTTGATATTTGTCAGAAAACTGCTGTTTATTGACAGGATCTTTTTCAAGACGTTTTTTTCTTGAATCTGAAATAGCATGCTGACTGTATAATTATTTGGCATATTGTCTTTCACTAGGATACACAGAGGGAGTTCGGAGCAGGTCTCGATCAATACTGGCCTACCCTGGTCCAAAGAAGGAGAAATGCCCTGATCAGTTGTGGACGAGTGAGTCCTGTTTTGCTGACACCTGCTCTGTGTTTCGTTGGATGAGCACCCCTTGGGAAGGGGATTATCGCAACGTCTGGTGTGAACGCTCTGACGGACTACATGTCTATGGTAAATAGGTCACTTTTTATCTTAGAAACAAATCAATATCTATTTTTAGAATGTTTATTAGAAGCCTACAATGTAACAAATATTCTTTTATAACCTGCTTTAATGCATGTATGTAGGTAAGTAAAAGGTAGGCAGATTGTGTGAAAGCTTAGTGCAAGGTAGGCACGATCATGTGAAAGCTTAGTGCAAGGTAGGCCGATCATGTGATAGCTTATTGCAAGGTAGGCACGATCATGTGAAAGCTTAGTGCAAGGTAGGCCGATCATCTGATAGCTTATTGCAAGGTAGGCACGATCATGTGAAAGCTTAGTGCTAGGTAGGCACGATCATGTGAAAGCTTAGTGCAAGGGAGGCACGATAATGTGAGAGCTGAGTGCAAGGTAGGCACGATCATGTGAAAGCTTAGTGCAAGGGAGGCACGATAATGTGAGAGCTGAGTGCAAGGTAGGCACGATCATGTGATAGCTTATTGCAAGGTAGGCACGATCATGTGAAAGCTTAGTGCTAGGTAGGCACGATCATGTGAAAGCTTAGTGCAAGGTAGGCCGATCATGTGATAGCTTATTGCAAGGTAGGCACGATTATGTGATAGCTTAGTGCAAAAGAAGGCAGATCATGTGATAGCTTAGTGCAAGGTAGGCACGATGATGTGAAAGCTTAGTGCAAGGTAGGCACGATTATGTGATAGCTTAGTGCAAAAGAAGGCAGATCATGTGATAGCTTAGTGTAAGAAAGACAGAGCATGTGATAGCTTAGTGTAAGAAAGACAGATCATATGATATTAAGTGCAAGGAAGGCAGAGCAGTAGAGGTTTCAGACTTTATTAAAGACAAGTCGATGTTAATTTCAAACAAAATTAGGTCATTTACAATTAATTGTAAATGACTGAATCCAAAAAAAAAAAAAATATGATTTATTTCATCTGAATCATCAATTTTGTATCATAAAAGTGCAAAAAGGTATGGTTTTCTTTTCAGAAATGATTTATCAAAACTATGATCATGACAGTAGTAATGTTTCTCAGGTTACAGTAACATCTGTTGGCAGTGGTATGGAGGTTTATAAGGCAAACTAATGTCAATTTTTCCCAAAAACAATCACAAAAGTAGGTCAATAATTGATCAATATCTGGAAGTCCAACTCCAACCACAATGTCTAGATCCAATTATATTATCCCCAGAGGCTGAGCTGATTGAATAGTCACCTAGACTTCCCTGTAGTAGTAATCAGTTATTTTTAGGGGCAAATAAAGATTTTTGTTGAAGACAAAAACCAAGAATGATATTCAGAAATTGCCCTTATTGCAAAAGAAAAACAGGACTATATTGCTGTAATTTGCTGATCTGTTTCTAACCAGCTGTATACTGCTATCATTTCAGGGTGTTACACTAGTTTCACAGTTTCTACTTTTACCTTATTTACTATTATGTCTACTTAGAAGTTATATAAACTCCATGTATCATTATTAAGTTGTCTAAATATCATGGTCTTGACAAAACATTGTGCTTCAAGTGAGCAATACAGGTCCTGTTTGCCTCTTGGTTTTATATGCCTGTTGTCCGACAGGTCGTATATTGGTATCATCCCCGACTGCGTTGTTCGTCCGTCCATTAACTTTTCCTTGTCATCGCTCTCCTGCCTTCATTCATGAACATATCTTGATGAAACTTGGTACACATATTGCATACCAATATAGCTCAAACAAGTTTGCATTTCAGGAGTTCAAGTGTATTTTTGGTGGGGTTATGCACCTTTTGTTTCCAAATAAGGGCATTGTGTAGTAAATGCGAGAACGTTTTTATTTTTTAGTCAATTCCTTTCTAATTTTGTACCGAAATGCTAGAAGCAATAATGTTCAACATATATTATGGGTTTTTCTGTCGAGTTTCAACTTTCCGTGTTTTGGAATATCACACTTGACATAGCAACGCTGTTCATTGTTTGTTTACTCGATAACTCAAACAATTGTTCTTCAATTCTTGTCAAACTTGGTGGGATGTTTCATCACCTGAATGCATTGGATGAGTTCTTAAATCGTGATATTTAAATGCTATTCAGCAGAGTTTTGTCCCTTTGTCATTGCCAAATAAGGGCATTCCGTCGAAAATGAAAGAACTTTTTAATTATTTGTTTAATTTCTTTCAAATTTAGTATGGTAATACAAAAACCAAACATGTTTAACATATGTAACAGGTTTTGTTGTCATGTTCCAACTTCTCATACCAACACTCCTACCTCAAAGCCAAGGTTCTAGTTTTAGTAATAGCAACATTGACCACAAAAGTGTAATTCTGAAACACATAATAGCTTGCGCCATAAACACAGTAAATGAATGGCAAGGTCACAGTCACCAACAAAACATCTAACAGTGTCAAAGTGTGCTACCATCTTAGTTACCTGTTAATTAATCTCTTTTTGTTTGTGTTGTCAGAATCATCGCATATCTTTGGTGTTGCTCTCTTCCATGAAGACAAGAGATAAAAAAAAGAACAGCACATATTTTCCATACAGTCGTTCTTTGATTCCAAATTTGGTTAATTCAGTCCCTGAATAGAGTTTGTAAATACTATAAATACAAAACTGGTGATGATATTGATATAGCAATGTACAATTTTCCTGGATTTGATTTAAACTCATAACATATTGTTTGATAGCAATGTTGGGATCAAATTGATTAAAATTGAGCCTCGATCTGATTAACTGTCAAGGAGGAAGTGTCTTTTTTTTGACAAGACGACAATTCTTGTCTGAACAGTGCCACGGGTCAAGTCTAGATGGTAAGTGTGGCGGCCTCTCTAAGACATTTCACCTTCAGCTATTTTAATGTGATAGAGGGGAGGCAGGTGGCACTTGTAGATGTTTTATTATAAAACAGAAGTGTTGTGTAGCTTCAGTAAATGTTCTACCATAACATTACACATCACATAGAGTAAAGGTCGTACAGTAACCTGATTCTGTGTACTCCTCCAGGCCTAATCATTTCCTGTTTTAGAAACTGAGATTTGTCCTTATCAACTGGAGCTATAATAGCTTCTCTGCCCACATGGATTGTCAGTGTAGTACCAAGTTACTTTCAAAACCTGTGTTAATAAGAACCCTAATTTGTCAAAAAAAATAATGTTGGCAGGTTTCAATTTACCATAGCAAATTAAAGCCATATCCTAACTTTCCTTAACCAAGCCCAACTTTAATAAAAAATATGAATTGAAAAAAATAAATCAATTAGATAAAAAAATGGATAAAGGCTTGCTTTACTTCACCTTAATTGGCAAAGCTATGGGATAGTGACCCCACTCAATCCTTACCCTGCCTATCCTGCCATCCTGCCCATCCCCAGACACAAGTTTTGGCCTTTTTACACATTAATCATGTAAAACAATGACAATTATGGTATTTTGTCCCTGGTTCTTATTACCATTATGGCAATTAAATTGACATTTCCTTTCATATAATTTTTTGCCCTTGTTCAAGTAAGATGCTTCAACAGAATATTGGTACGGATGTTTGTGTTACAGCCATGCCTCTAGCATTCCAGAAAATTGTCACATTGGGGCAATATACAGGCATGCGCAGTAAACTGCAGATTATGAGACCTGTGCTGTAGTGATGGTTCGAAATTCACGGGTCAAGTCTTGAGCGTGGTACACTCTCTTACTGTGATGTAACTTCAGCTTGTGTTCAGGCAAAGAGTATATATGTTGTGTACCTAATGTAAAATCCTTTTATACTCCTTCCTCTTTACAGCTTAACATGATGTTGTCTCTGAAATGGTAATGGAAGACATGTATTACTAAAATATTGGATGTCTTATATTCTTAAAACGGAGAGTTTCAGGGTCATTTTCAAAACAGTATCATTTTTGAGGAGTCCATAAGAAGTACGTTCTAAGCAGCTGGGTTTTAGATGAAAGATAGTTAGTAAACTAATAGTAATTATTGTATTGGAAAGTAATCCTAATTATTCTTGTTTGATGTTGCCTGCAAGTTGAAATACTTAAACTCAATTTAATCTTACCAATTATCCTGTCTTCACATGTAAAAATAAAACTTAGACTATGAGAAAACATGAAACTTTTTTTTTTACAAAGATTAGATTTGAAATATATATACAAGTATTACACAAACGTGAAATATTGATACTCAAAAATGAATGACACTGCATCACACGCTGTCTCATTCTGTAAGTGATGCTAGGGGCCACAACATCGGAAATCTAAATTGGTATTAACTAAATGTTGATACCGAAGGGAAACCCTGTTTAAAGAATTTCAAAATTTAGAGAGAATTAAGTACTGGTAAATTTAAATGATTTAAATGTATATTATAAAGCCTGCTATAAATTAGATAATGATTTAAGTATATATTATAAAGCCTGCTATGAATTAGATAATGATTACAATGTATATTATTATTTCAATTGATTTTGAGCTGATTCTGATTGGCTGAAACAACATCATGTGACCACCTGTAAAAGTAGTTATAAACCTGAGTGGTTTGCAGGTGTTCAAAAAAGTTGGTAGAACAAGTGTTATTAACCTGCTATAAATAGATTCTGGAACAGGTGTTCAAAAAAGTTGGTAGAAAAAGTGTTATCATATGCTTAAAAATTTCTCGCAATCACATTGGTGGGATCATATACACGTGACCAGTCCTCAAAAACTCATGTAGACTGGTTATCCGGTGATTATCAATTTCTAAATATAGCCTATATAGAAATTCCCTGGAACCTGTCGTAGCGCATGCGCAGTTAGACTGGAACGCAATATGTCAGACGAAAATAGAAGATGGCGGTTGCATGGTGAACACTTCGCCTCTGTTACATCTGAAAAGTTCTAAACTACTCCAAGACAAAGATGCTGGTAACACAAAAAGGACACCGAACACACAGTGCGTGTCCTCAATGCTTACCTTAAGAAAACAAATCTTAACGATGTCTCCGAAAACCGAGCTGTTGGATTCAACCCTGGCTAAATTTTACGCGGAGGCTCGTTCAAGTAAATG